AAGTAGTAAGTAAATGAAGATTCGGTGAAAATACCGTAACAATTTTAAAGAGTAAAAAGAAATGTTTAAATCATTCTCATCCCACAAGATTAAGTCTCACATGTAAGGAGAAAGAAAGAGAACTACTCAGAATTCATGGAGACTAATAAAAAATAAAACATTTGCATTTAAATCCAAGTCTTACAATAAAAACTTAACACAAATACAAAGTACCTTATGTCTTCTCCCTAAGTAAACTTTTGGAGTTTCCTTTAAGCAATCTCCAAACTTCTTCACACTAAAACACACTCACACTTATACTTGAACACAAAATATGAAAAACATAATTCAATATTGCCCCCCAATTGAAGTTTTGAGGCTCCAAAAAGTCTCTAAACTCAGCCAAATCCTTCTCATTTTATAAAAAATTGAAAATAATAACCAAGGGTTGCTTCAAACACCCCTCCAAAATTTTACAAAATTCAATGGATCTTTTAGAAAAGTAGTTACTGATGCTATAAATCCAGTCTAAGGCTCTATAATGCCCATATTTTCTCGTCTATAATGATATGGTGCCAAGGGGTGGCACGATAGAGCCACACAAAAATCTTCAATTTTGCTCCATTTTGCCCTCATTTTCCCTAAATGTTCATTCCATGTCACTGAAACCAAAAACATGCAAAATACATTCCTTTAAAGTGCAATATTATTAAAAATGTACATAAAATACTTATAAAATAAGCACTAAAACAGGTTACTTTTAGGTGGATCATCCAACTAGGGAGCACGTCTGCCACTCAGTAGAAGTGGGGTTTTGTTAATAATAACCGTAAAGAATATGAAGCTTTGATTGTCGGGCTGCGTATCACCTATGAAAAGGGTATTCGGAACCTCCTTAGGAAGTCAGACTCACAGTTGGTTGTGGGCTAGATAAATGGAGAATTTAAGGCTAGGGATGAACAAGATAAAAATAAAAATTAGGAAGTTTGCCAACTTTAAAATTGAGCACGTTGATCGAGATGAGAATCAAGTAGCTGATCTCCTCTCTAATTGTATTCACTTGGGGGATGGAACATCTTAGAATCTGGCCTGACCGAACATCGAGTAATGTGAAATAATGGAGATGGAAGCAGATGAAGTGAAGAACTGGATGGATCCTTACACCCATTACTCAATGAATGAGAAATTTTTTGAAAAATTTGTTGTTTCAGGAGGGTCAAATTCAAAGGAGCTTAATATCTCATGATTGAAGTAAGGCTTTTTTGAAAGTCATCCACTTCCATTTACTTGAGGTGTGTAAGGGAAAATGGGGTGGAATATATTCTTTGGGAAATGCACTCCAATGACTGCGGATCTCACTCAAGTGGGGAAGACCTTGTCGCACAAGATTCAGCGGCAATAAAAATTTTATCTGATACTTCACAAAGATACATATGAGTTTTTTAGGAGGAGAGAACAGTGTCAAAAGTATGCTTTATTGCAACATAGCTAGTTCATATGTTTCAATTGACTGTTAGTCATTGTCTAGGGCCTTGATATCATTGGGCCTTTTTTGTCATCAAAGGGCCAACACAAATTTCTTTTCATCACTATTGATTACTTTTTGAAGTGGATTGAAGCCAAGTTGTTGCACTGAATGAGCTATGTTGTCAGTCGAATACAACCATCAGAGTTAATGGGTTGAGATAGCGTCATCATTCGATGAAGAAAACCTAATCAACTGACACAAATTAAATAACAAAGGGATAATGCAAGCACTCAACTTGACATAAGATAATTGAGCATAGTCAGCCTCCAACATGAAGAAATCAAGAAACGCATTGCGCACTACTACAATCGGCACATCCGAGAGAAATTCTTTGCCTCCAAAGATCTCATTCTGAAAAAAGCCGACCCAGCTGCACGAGGACAAGTGGTCAGCAAAATGGACCAAACCTGGACGAGACTATTCATTGTCACTGATGGATAACCCTAGGAGCTTATAACTTAAGTACTTGCGCATGAAAAGAAGTCCTGCGCACTTGGAGAGAGGATGACTTATAACATTTTTTTCATTAACAATTTTTTGTATCAGAATTAATAAAAGCAGTTTCGCTCCATGGCTTGTACATTTTTTGTAAATGTAATAAAAGCTTCTCAGCTAATTCTATGTATAAATTTCAGGTTTGACTAACACTTGGGGAACTGAGAATTCCCAATGACCAAAAGATGTCTTACACTTGAAAATCTATGTTGAGTAGAAAAATCAATAACGACATAAGATATTTGATCAATAGAAATTTTGTTGAAGTTCGACAATGGTGCAAGGCACTAGATTGACATTTATCTTGAACCTTAACTGGCAACGCTGACTAACGTTTGATCGATAAGCCCCATTAAACTTACTCAATGCCCAGCATAAGAAAATCTTATCTCCTAGCTCAGCACAAGTTTATCCCCAGAGATGGTTCCCTCACTCATCAACGATAAGAACCACACTTAGTGGCGTGCAAAATCATCATGACGGCGAGTCTTGACGATTACCCTTCCCCACCCCCTCCTTCTCCATCTCGAAGGTAGCGCCAATATCAACACCTGACAAATAATGAGGCTCAACCGAGGCGAGTGCTTATGGAGCAAAATATATATGGAGGGCATAAGACTTGAGCCTAGTGGTTGATGCAAATCAAAACTGACAAAAAATTCTCAAAACTGAACACTTGACCATGCATACCATCGCAAGTAATCGAGCACTAAAGGTAAAACGACAAGTACACAAAACCTAAAAAAGTTTTCACTATAAGAAAATCTGTATATAAGTTTTTTTTTCCATGAGTACACAGTTCAATCAAATGTAGCCGAGCAAAATTCCTTCCTAAGTAAAGATAAAAAAAAAAAAAGAGAAAAAAGTCTTAGAAGTTGCCGATCTACCGTTGATGCCACCTCCTTCTTTCGTCGCTCCAATGGACTGTTCGTTGTCGTCCTCTGAGTCGGAAAGGAGGGTGACGAACTGCTTCATGTCAGCCCACTTGCAGTCGACCAAGCAACCTTTAATATAACTACAGGTGGCCAAGGAGATGCTCGCTTGAAGTTTATTGGAGGGCCCCTCGATGTGCTCCATTGCCACCATCTTGGTCATTGTCGTCTACAAGTTTGCATTCTTTTTCTCTTGGGTAGACATGGTCTCTTCGTGATCCTTTCCATCATCTCCTGAATCTGAGTCGAGAACTTCAACCTTTTTTCAGTTTGAATGACCCCTTGCTCTGTTGCTTTGCATTAAATGTTACATTATATATTACATTAAAAGTCATAAATTGCTTAAATACTAAAAAATAACACAAAAACTATAATTAAAAAAAAAGTAATATTATCATAATATATGTTCATGTCTAAACAAGGAAGCCACTTGGAGAATTTTCTTTCCGAAACTAATCTCTATACTTTGTAGTTGTCTAAAGTGAACTTCTCATAGTTCTCGGCTCATTTAAAAAAGTCACAATCATCAAGCGTTTTGTTTCTGAGACACCCATAAAAATTCTCCCATAGCTAAACCCTATATTTTCGTTGGACTTACCATATAATTCTAATGTATTTACTTGTGAAACACCTAAAATTACCACACGCCTTCAAACCATACACTTATGTAAGACATTTTCCAAGAATTATAAGTAGCAACAAATGCTGAATAAACATGGATTAACCATGCAATGTATTCTAAGGAGATCCTCCCCATCCAACAACATAAATTTGTAACGGATCATATCATGATCACAATAACAACAACAAATCATAACACAATCTAAGAAGATCATACCACGATCACAGAAAGTCATGAAGACATAAAGATCATACCACAATCATAGAAAGGCAAAAATAACTATGAGCCAATCCAAATTGAACAAATTCCTTCACACCAGCCCAACTTTCTATCGCATCACATAAGTATTCAAGCTAACATCAAATGCTCAAGAAAATAAAAAAAAATCCAACATTCACAACAACAACTCAAAACAAAATATTCCAATGTAAATCATCCAAAAACTCACAACCTAAGCTATTCACATGAAACAATGAGAGTAAAGTAGAGAGAGCGAGAACGACAAAGGATAATTTAGAATTTGAGGTATCTCTCCAGAGTAGTCAGAGGAGAAAAAAGCGAGAGCAACATTAAAGAACAACCACAACATTGTATAAAGAGAACAAAACTCGCATCCTAAAGTTTATCCCTAATTGATGGTATATTGGGGATAAAGACAAGGAAAAAGTGAAAATGAGAATCGTTAAAATCTAAAGAGAAAAATCTTAATCGTGGAGCTCGTTGACGAATCACTCTCCCTATTAATGTGCCACAATTGGGAGCCGGTCGCACCAATGTCGCACCCATGCCACACAAGCCAAACTAACTGAAGGTACATTGCCCCCCACTGCTGTGCTTAAAACCAGCTAAATGACAAAACCAAACTGGGAATTGAACCCAAGCAGGCAACCGCAAATCAGTGGCATTTTCGTAGTTTGAGAGTTTTATTCAGGTCGACGCGCACATTTTCTTCTCGGTCCGATCGATCTAGCCAGCTATATATAGGGAAAAATTATTCCATGCGGATCGGCGTCCGCTCATTCCATGCGGATCGGCGTTCGCACGCAGCTTGCGTGCGGACGCCGATCCGGACCGTAAATCACATGATTTATGGTCCTGATGTATTTCGGTGGGCCCCACCTAAAATTTTTTATTTTTTATTTAAAAAAACGGAAATAATCCTGACCGTAGATCACCGTGATCTACGGCCAGGATCGGACACCGCATGCAGGCACGCAATAATCTCCCATATATAGGAGTCAGATTGCCATATTCGTCTGTAGGAACATAAGGAAGATAGAGCCAGGGAGGGAGGGCACGCTCCCGCCTTTTCGCACGGTGGTCCGACGTGGAGCCTGAGGGGTTCGATTCACGGAGCTTGGAAGATGCTACTGAACTGCGCCGCCGTGAGCCCAACCGTTGTTCGGGACGCTCCGGCAGGACCGCCATATCG